CATTGGATAATATTGATTTCGCTATCGCCGCGGACATTTTAAAAATAATTCATTAACTGTTGACAAAGCTACCATTTTAACCAATATTGTGTTTGGAAGCAAGTTTGTTAATTTTCCTGGAGAAATAAACAATACTTAAACAAACTTAAATTTAGTGCTTCAAAGTATTTTTGTGTTATTGTTTTTTATGTTTTTGTTTGTTATAATAAAGAAAAAATGTCCAGAGACGAAGACAGAACAAAACGCAATGTGCTCTCGTTCATTAATGGACCCGAGCCAAGCATAGATCGGCGATTTCGTCCATGTCCGAAGAATATATTCAAAGCAAGTGGTGACATATCGAAAACAAGTACTATTGGAGAAGATGGGGCCATGGTGTATCTACGACTGCGTCCTGTTAATTCTCCTTCATCGTCATATAAAATTGCAGGCATGGGAAATACTCTTGTGGTGAACCCACGTTTAGATCAAACAACGACAAGTAACAATAAAGCAGCAATGGAAAAACATTTTACCTTCAGCGCGATATTCGATAATAATGATAGTCAAAAGGGCGTACACAATAAGTGTATAAGTGACAAAATAAAATTGGAGGAAAGTTTCACAGTGCTGACTTATGGTACATCTGGTTCCAGAAAGACTTTTACACTATTAGGTAAAATTCAATTAAAGTAAAATTATATGATTTGTTTAAAAATAATTGTTTCTTTAGGCGATGACGTTAATCCTGGTATTGTGCCGCGTTCCATTGAGAATATTTTCACATTATACAATTCCAATATAAATCCGCACCCGGCAGTTAAATTACAAAATGCTCGCGTAGTTATTTTAGAGGATGAACTTTTAGCCAAGGAAATAATTTCAACTCGTCAAGTGCTCACAGCTTGCGGAGATATAACCTCAGTACATAAGCAATTCCAACAAATCATATGCTCAGATCATAATTTTGAAACCACAGTTTTCGATGATGTGTTTGTTATGATTTGGTTGTCATTCGTTGAAATTTATAACGAATTTGTCTATGATTTACTGGAATTATCGGCATCTAATCAAACAATTACAGTGGCTTCTCGTAAGAATCTTAAAATTGTTAGCAACGATGGAAAAGTTTTCGTGAAAGGATTAACACAAGTTTATGTGAAGAATAGCTTGGAAGCCCTAAAATTGCTGCGCTTTGGCTTACAACGTGTCACTTACGCCTCTACTTCCATCAATGCAAACTCCAGCCGGTCGCATTGTATATTCATCATTGACGTGCTAAAGTACAATGCATCAGGTTTGATAACAGAAGTAAGTTATTTTACTATTTTACTATCATTCAAATGATTTTATCCATTATTTTTTTGTTTTGTATTTGAAGATATCTTATAAATTCTGTGACTTGGCTGGTTCTGAACGACTTGACAAAAGTGGGAATGTCGGTTCACGGCTTAAGGAAACACAACGTATCAATACATCGTTGATGATTCTGGGTCGCTGTCTTGATGCTGCTAATAATTTAAATCGTAAGAAGAATACTGAGGTTATTCCTTACCGAGAATCGAAACTTACGATGTTGTTGCAAGCTCCACTGTTAGGAAAGGAGAAAATTGTCATGGTGGTTAATGTTACACCCACTGAAAAATATTATGAAGAAAATTTAAATGTTTTGGGATTCTCTTCAATCGCTAAGAATATTATCTTCAAACCACCAATTGTGAAGCAAAATAACTCAAGATTTTCATTCTTTTTGGAACATTCCAAGTCCGGCAGTGCACAAAATGCCTACATTGAGCAATTACTCGAAGTAAATATTTTGTACGTTTTAAAATACCCTAACTCTTTTGGAATATAATAATATATAAATTATTTATTCAAATAGGCTGCGTAATGATAATGATCGACTGATAAACGAAGTAAATAATTTCCAAATTAGGATAAATTCTGAACTCTTGCGGCAAGAAAAAGAAATTCGAAATGAACTTGTGGACTCGTTTGAAAAAACATTGACTGCAACCAAGGAACAAGCTGAAAATCGTCTGAAACAGGAACTTGAATGTCAAAAACGAGTATTTGAATCAAAGGTGAGTCAAGTGCGCTATCAATTCAGATATATTAATCACATCAATAATTAAATTTTAATTTATAATTTTTAGTTGGCAAAAGTGAAACGAGCGCATATTGAACAAATTGAAGATTTGCGTGAAGAGTTACAAGAACTGAAAGAGAAAGAATGTCAAAAATATCCGAACAAACTCAATCCAACACTCGCTTTTAGTCCGCGGCAAGTTAAGGTATTGCAGGCACTGCCAGAGAAGATTCGCGATAAAACTCAAATCAAAATCGAGACAATAGATTCAGTAGTCGCAGATCCTAGTCCGATAAAAAATGATAATTCGCATGAAGAATTACAAGACTTAAAAGAAAACATTTGCGATGAAATATCAAGGAAACGCAGGACATTAGAGAATATGGGAGCCTCGCATGAGGAATTTTTAGAAACTGAAAGACAGATTTACAATGAAAATCCAAACAAAGTGATTGTACTAGACGCAAATTATACGAACAAAATAGGAGAAGAATTAGAAAAAATGGAGGAGGACTCAAGCGATAAAAATTCTAACGAACTCAACACACTGGATGTTTAGCATTCGCAAAAAATGTAATATTTTTTTACGCAAAGAGAGAAACTGCATCCTATAATAATACAATCACGAAATAGTCCTTGTAAAAGAGGATTAGCGTTTTTTTGTAATTTATAAGAATATTTCTAGTTTTGTTTAAATAAATGTATTAGATTATATCAGTTAAAATTACACAATTTTTTACTAATTATTTTTTAATTAAGTTAAATTCAGGCAATTACAAATGAATCAGTTTAAGTTTTAAACACGGTAGTAAGATTTTTCATCGCGTTTAGATAGATGTAGCAGATAGAGCTGAACATACTTGTATCATAAAGTAATATCCAAAAATAGATTAAGTTTTTTTCAAATAAAGGTAAATGTCCATTAGACTGACTATTGTATTACGGAAAAAATATGAAAAAATAATTAATTGATTTTAAATAAATTTATCTGCGTGATACCCGATATACCACCAGTAAAGCTAAAATTAATTATTTTTCTAGAATTTTTTTTATTGTATATTATGTTAAATTAGTATTATTTTGTTGTAAATTAATTAATAATTTAAGGCTTCATCGACTAAATGATGAAGTAATTGCATTAAAGCCCACATAATTTTAATTTCTTTAAGTTCTTTATTTGTTAAATACCTTATCTTTCAATATCCTTACTCATATTATAAGCTTTTAAAAAAATAACAGTAGGAGAATTAGGAAGGAGTTGATAGCAGCTAGCACCTTGACTCTTCTGTCCGTATGCACTCCATGTAACGGGTACTGTGTCAACCTGGCAATTTACATCACTTTTTTTTTGTAAAATCCATTATATACTTAAAGTATCAGATAATGAATATTTTGTTGAAGAGATTGTTGTAGCAATATGCCAAACTGGAAGCAAGCTCAGAAAAGGTTGATAACACATTGCACAATGGGCGGAATAGAGAAAGTAATGTGAAGATATAAAGGAGTAGAAATGAAAGTTTCGAGAATGGCCATGTCAACTTACCGGAACCACTCGTCAACCAAGTATCGTTCACCACCTCCAAATGGATATTACAAGCAGCTTCTAGCGTGTTAAAAAAAGACAGGAATGACCATCTTTAAGGCATCTCTATGAATATCAGAGTTTCTAATAGACCAAAGAATTTGAATATCTCCCTTAAGTTGATATTTTGAAATTTTTTTAGTCAAGTGTAGACTTAGCTGGCTTACTAAAAGCGATAAAACCAAACTGATTCAGAATATGTGTACAGATTGTTTTCTCTGTTTTGATGTGGTGTTTAACAAAAGTCAAACGCAATTCCAATACCTCAATTAAAATCCTACAATTTTTTTTTACAGAAACAATTAAACTTCAAATCTAATGATATTTACTAAATATAATAATAACGATTACACAATAAATGTACTTAAAGTGAAGATTATTACAAATCATCCTTAACTAAAAATAACTTAAGATTTATTTCTTGAAAAATGAAGATATGCTTTTTGTTCCCTTTGCGCTCTTGGCTAATGCTTTCTCCTTAGCTGTGAGTACGCGCTCCTTAGGTGCTGGTGCCTTTGGTGCATCATTAACGATTATATTAGATTTATCATCATCCAGTGAGTCATCTAATAGGCCATTATTTTTTAATTTTTCATTAGCACTTTTATCATTCGTGTTTTCAAGTTTAATTTTTTTATTATCATTTGAATTAAGTGATTGCAAGTGATTTTCGTTTATTTGCCTGTTTCTGCTCCTCAACGATGGCTTTTATTTCCGGTTGTATTTCAAAATATTTTGTGAGATCGTCGTGTAAATCCAAGTTAATATAACCACCAACAATATCACACGCCATACGCAAATAGTCAATATCGTTAATCAGATCTTCAGCTGTTGAATTTTCGCTGGGAGTGTAATTATGTGACACGGTGCTCAGTCCGCAATAAATTCCTTTGCTTTTAAGCACATTCGCAATGTTTCGGGTTTTAAGCGCTAACGAAGCTAACGTTTTTTCTGCATTGTACTTATAAAACACCGTTTTGGAACCAGCTAATCTTTTAACATCAGCTACGCAACCTAATGTGTCTTTGTCTACAAAAGTCGTAAGCAGGCGAGAAGTGCTTAAATCTTCACTTTGCCTGCAATGCAGTTCCAGTACTCTTTGGGTGCAATGCTTGCGTATATGATGTATTGCCAAAAATGTGACATCAATCGGTGTAGTAACATAAATACGTCCATTGGAACATACATTTGAATCTATTAGCCAACTTCGTCGTGGTTCAGAGAACTGTAATACTTCCATAATGATTTTATTGGAACATGCTATAAATAGCGCGGTGGTACCTTTGCCCGGATGAAAGAAGCGTTCTAATCGCAATTCATTATCGGCATTTTGCATTAAAGATTCGGCAATATAAAATACTTTTCTTATAGATGATGCTTTAACCGTTTTATTGTCTCTTGTTGAATCATTTAATTTGGTTTCTGATTTAGAAGAACGCGTAGATTTTATTTTGCTCATATTTGCTAACAAAATTTCTTTGCATTTATTTTTGCGCGAAAATCTTGAAGTATGCTTTAATCATAAACAAAACCATTAACCGCTGTACAAAATCATGTGTATTCATATTAAGAAACAAAGAATACTTGTACAAGAACGGCAACTTAAATGTAAACAAAAAAAACCAACCAATACACTCTCAAAATAATTTACTACTACCAAACCAAGCACGTTGTTTTGTTGTTGCAATTCGACCCACCACGACTGAAAAGTTTCACCACCCCGAACGGAACGTTTCACCACCACGAACGGTCTTAATTTTTTTTATTACGAAAGAGCAATATGAAGAGCGCAAATTGGGTTTTGTTTAGTTATTTTGACAGGAGAAATGCGCCAAAAACTGAAAAACGTAGCCAAATCAAACTGAGTTATAAAAAGTAGTGAATAAGTTTCTTTGAAAAAATAATTATATTTATTATAATTGTTATTATAGTAAATTATTATATATTATTATTAATATTTGAAGATGGTGCGAAATTGCGTGATGGGATGTAAGTTATTTAAGGGAATGTATGAATTTCCTAAAAATGACGAAAGAAGGTAAAAAAACAATAATTTATTAATTGTGGATTTAAAATATATGTTTTGTGTTTAATGTGATTTGTTTGTTTTGATGTGTATAAATACAAATTAGTAAAGCAAAAATATATGTGAGTATATATTTAATATATTTTAATAAAGTTGTGCTATGTGTTAATTTGTGTTTGTTAAATATGTGAAAAATCCAATAAGAAATATAAAAAAAAACAAAAATTGTAAACAATTTTTTGGTGGTAAAAAGAGTGGAGTATGTAAATTATATTTGTATATTAAAATATTCATATTCAAATGTATGAATAGTTTAAAGACTTTTAATATTATTTAATTTATTATTAATTTAATTCAACAATTTTATTTTTAATAAAATACTTTTATGCAATAAAATAACTTTTAATATGTTTTCTAATTAACAAATTTTACTATTTCATTTGTTCATGTTAAAAACACTGAATTGAATTAAATCGTATATTTCTTGGGACTGCTTGAAATTAGAAAATATAAATTTTTGACAATTTTTGTCAAAAATTGAGGTTGCTTATTTTGCGTTATTAATATTTTGTATTTTGTTGTTTTCTGTTTTCTGTTTTATTTTCAACAGTTTCAATAATTGAATTGCCTTAATATAACAGTATTCTAAAACAGTAAAAGTATTCTTTGCTAATTCCGCAGTTCATTTACAAAACTGTATGTTGAAATTTCTTTAATTTTAGCGGGAAATTCATAAATAATAACACTAAATTGTTGAATACAGGCGAAATTAAAATTCATAAATAATAACACTAAATTGTTGAATACAGGCGGAATTAAAAATGCCCTTCAAAAAAGGAAAAAATGTTAAACAAACAAAAATTACTGATACAATGGGAATTGAGACCAAAAAAGCACAGGCTAGTCCTAAACTAAAGCAGGATATAAATTTGCAAGAAAAGTAAGTTAAAGTGAATTAATAAAAGAAATGCTAAAATAATTTATTTATTTCAGATTCAGCCCCCGTGAAGAATCAAAAATACAATCAGTCTTTCCAGTTACGATCAATGAGTTTATTGAAAATACAAATATAATCGATGTAATTAAAGATTATATTAAAGATAAACATCCAACAGCCTTAGAAACATATCTCACGGAACCAGAAATCATGTTCAGGGTAAAAAAGTCATATAACACTTTTTACAAAAGACCACAGCAACGATGTGTAGCACCACTGAAATATATTCGCATCACTAGTGACTGTGATGAAAACACAAAACAACGTTTGTTTAAAATTTCACACTATTATAAACATTTGTGTGAAAATAAAGATAATGAACATCAAAGCGTAAAAAAAAGTTTAAAGAAACAAGATAGTTCTACACATAAAAATATAAATAGGTAAATATTAAGTAGAGAAATGATTGATTATTTAGCCATTAAAAAATTTATGTATGTGCATTATAGCGTTACCGATAAAAAGATATTAGAAGAAAAGATCCTGGGACTAAAGAGGTATTTAAGTTATTTAAATAAATAAATTATTTTATTAAAACGGAATTTTTTATAAATATAGTATTATATCAAATTTTGATGCTAACAACAAAGAAACAAATGAAAAAGTGCGCAACCTTCCAGTCAGTTTTGAAACGTTTAAAAGGTTAACTTTTCACAATGATGTTATTGCTAACATTTGCCAAAGCATAAAGGAGTTGGAGTATGAGTTGCCAATTTCAAATATATCAAAAGAAGAATTATTTGATAATAATAAATTACTTCGGAGTTACTACAAAACATTTTACATGCAAACGGTTATTCGGACAATATTTCCATTGAAAATAAAACCATGTCCAGGACGTTTTAAGGACAAACTTTTGAAATATCCAGAAATTACGTCAGATCATGAAGGTAAATAAAAATATTTTAACCCTATTGCAACTAATTCTCGATTTAGAGTTTCGTTCCAAACGCGTCCTGATTGCTTGAGACCATATATTGAACGTAGAAGTTTACATACCTTGCCTGAGCTATCGTTAAAACCCTTCGGCTGTTTCATGTATATTTCTTCATCGAGAATTCCATTCAAATATGCTGTAACAGCATCCATTTGGTGTATAATCAAATCATTTTTGGCGGCGAGCGCTAATAGAAACCTTATTGATTCATATCTTACCACCGGAGCAAATGTTTCTGTGTACTCAATGCCTTCTATTTGTCCGAAACCTTTTGCAACTAGTCTGGCTTTTCTGCAAACCGGAGTACCTTGAGCATCTAATTTAGTTTTAAAAACCCATTTTGATGGGATTGCTTTTTTATCAGCCGGCAACTCAGTAAGTTTCCATGTCTTGTTCCGTAAAAGCGAGTCAATTTCACTCTGCATAGCTGCTTTCCATTTATCAGAGTTATTGGACGACATTACTTCTTCAAATGAACAAGGATCGTTTGATATATAATCTAATGCACAAAAATTATATGGCGAATTTTTGCTTGCTATTCTCTTCGAACGTCGTATGTCAGATTCTTCTTCCACTTCGTTGGATATTACTTGAATCTCAGAGCATTCCGGAGAGGTATTATCTATTACTTTGTAGTGTTCATCAGAACTTTTGGTTTCATTTTCAGTATTTTTAAGTGGCAATTCGCATTCCTCTATATTCTTCCCTGAATTGTCACTTTCAATTTGTATAATAGGAACAACTATACCTAGGGAATCACTTTTTCCTACATATTTTTCATTTTCAAAAAAAATCACGTCTCTACTGATAATAACTGTTTTGTTTTGTGGGTTTGTTTTGTGGGCACATATTGCAAAACAACTACGTTACTTTTAAGTAAAAAAGATTTTGGCACACAAAATTTTAGATCTTTTGTAGCTCCACCGGCTTTAATTATAATGGGTCCATATATTTCAAGCTGGTTCGCATTCATAAACACAAATGTCATACCGCTGAAAACAGTTTTACGAGCCGGTGTTATTGTGCAATCTAGATTATGTCCCATCAAATCATTGCTATTTATAGGCTTGTATTCATTAGGTGTTTTTTTTGATGGCCCGCCACCAAAATTAAACAGGTCATCATCTTCATTACTGTCATCACTGTCACTTATAACAATTTGAATAATTTTGTTCTGTTTACGCTTTGACATACTTTCATCATCTAATATTGAATTTTGTTTGCTCCCGGATTTGCCATCATCATTCACACCGATCTTTTCTGTTTCAAGTAAACATAATTCCTGTTGTTGTTGTTTATTTCGTACATCGTAAAGTTCTTCACCGAAACTTTTATCTTTATCTTGTAAACATGTTTTTTTTGATGGCCCGCCACCAAAATTAAACAGGTCATCATCACTATCATAATTATCAGTAAGTACTGCAATGATTAGACGTTTATAGGCTTGCTGCGTCTCCAAATGAGCTGTATTACTGCTCCGTGGTGGCGAATTATCTATTTGCACACCTGATTTTTGCTGAAAACCTTCAACCAAAGAATCTATAGTACAAAGAAGTGCCACGCTCATACAAACGAAATACCCACTTTATTTTGCTGGTGGATTTATAATAAATCCACCCAACCTCATGCAACAATGTTCGATCGAGTCACAACTGGTAAAATTTTTGACAATTTTTGTCAAAAATTGAGGTTGCTTATTTTGCGTTATTAATATTTTGTATTTTGTTGTTTTCTGTTTTCTGTTTTATTTTCAACAGTTTCAATAATTGAATTGCCTTAATATAACAGTATTCTAAAACAGTAAAAGTATTCTTTGCTAATTCCGCAGTTCATTTACAAAACTGTATGTTGAAATTTCTTTAATTTTAGCGGGAAATTCATAAATAATAACACTAAATTGTTGAATACAGGCGAAATTAAAATTCATAAATAATAACACTAAATTGTTGAATACAGGCGGAATTAAAAATGCCCTTCAAAAAAGGAAAAAATGTTAAACAAACAAAAATTACTGATACAATGGGAATTGAGACCAAAGAAGCACAGGCTAGTCCTAAACTAAAGCAGGATATAAATTTGCAAGAAAAGTAAGTTAAAGTGAATTAATAAAAGAAATGCTAAAATAATTTATTTATTTCAGATTCAGACCCCGTGAAGAATCAAAAATACGATCAGTCTTTCCAGTTACGATCAATGAGTTCATTGAAAATACAAATATAATCGATGTAAAAAAGACATATAACGTTTTTTACAAAAGACCACAGCGACGATGTGTAGCACCAATGAAATATGTTCGCATCACTAGTGACTGTGATGAAAACACAAAACAACGTTTGTTTAAAATTCCACACTATTATAAACATTTGTGTGAAAATAAAGATAATGAACATCAAAGCGTAAAAAAAAGTTTAAAGAAACAAGATAGTTCTCCACATAAAAATATAAATAGGTAAATATTAAGTAGAGAAATGATTGATTATTTAGCCATTAAAAAATTTATGTATGTGCATTATAGCGTTACCGATAAAAAGATATTAGAAGAAAAGATCCTGGGACTAAAGAGGTATTTAAGTTATTTAAATAAATAAATTATTTTATTAAAACGGAATTTTTTATAAATATAGTATTATATCAAATTTTGATGCTAACAACAAAGAAACAAATGAAAAAGTGCGCAACCTTCCAGTCAGTTTTGAAACGTTTAAAAGGTTAACTTTTCACAATGATGTTATTGCTAACATTTGCCAAAGCATAAAGGAGTTGGAGTATGAGTTGCCAATTTCAAATATATCAAAAGAAGAATTATTTGATAATAATAAATTACTTCGGAGTTACTACAAAACATTTTACATGCAAACGGTTATTCGGACAATATTTCCATTGAAAATAAAACCATGTCCAGGACGTTTTAAGGACAAACTTTTGAAATATCCAGAAATTACGTCAGATCATGAAGGTAAATAAAAATATTTTAACCCTATTGCAACTAATTCTCGATTTAGAGTTTCGTTCCAAACGCGTCCTGATTGCTTGAGACCATATATTGAACGTAGAAGTTTACATACCTTGCCTGAGCTATCGTTAAAACCCTTCGGCTGTTTCATGTATATTTCTTCATCGAGAATTCCATTCAAATATGCTGTAACAGCATCCATTTGGTGTATAATCAAATCATTTTTGGCGGCGAGCGCTAATAGAAACCTTATTGATTCATATCTTACCACCGGAGCAAATGTTTCTGTGTACTCAATGCCTTCTATTTGTCCGAAACCTTTTGCAACTAGTCTGGCTTTTCTGCAAACCGGAGTACCTTGAGCATCTAATTTAGTTTTAAAAACCCATTTTGATGGGATTGCTTTTTTATCAGCCGGCAACTCAGTAAGTTTCCATGTCTTGTTCCGTAAAAGCGAGTCAATTTCACTCTGCATAGCTGCTTTCCATTTATCAGAGTTATTGGACGACATTGCTTCTTCAAATGAACAAGGATCGTTTGATATATAATCTAATGCACAAAAATTATATGGCGAATTTTTGCTTGCTATTCTCTTCGAACGTCGTATGTCAGATTCTTCTTCCACTTCGTTGGATATTACTTGAATCTCAGAGCATTCCGGAGAGGTATTATCTATTACTTTGTAGTGTTCATCAGAACTTTTGGTTTCATTTTCAGTATTTTTAAGTGGCAATTCGCATTCCTCTATATTCTTCCCTGAATTGTCACTTTCAATTTGTATAATAGGAACAACTATACCTAGGGAATCACTTTTTCCTACATATTTTTCATTTTCAAAAAAAATCACGTCTCTACTGATAATAACTGTTTTGTTTTGTGGGTTTGTTTTGTGGGCACATATTGCAAAACAACTACGTTACTTTTAAGTAAAAAAGATTTTGGCACACAAAATTTTAGATCTTTTGTAGCTCCACCGGCTTTAATTATAATGGGTCCATATATTTCAAGCTGGTTCGCATTCATAAACACAAATGTCATCCCGCTGAAAACAGTTTTACGAGCCGGTGTTATTGTGCAATCTAGATTATGTCCCATCAAATCATTGCTATTTATAGGCTTGTA